TTCGATTACTTCCCTACTCACCTCCTGCCAAGCTGATTGATAAAATTTTCCAAAAAAAACCATCTGGACCAGGTGCCTTATTTCCACTAAGTTGAAAAGCTGCAACTTTAATCTCTTCTTTTGTCATGCCCTTTTCTAACAAAATGTTTTTCTCATTAGTAACCTAACAATCAATGAATTCAAGCACCTCATTTAATTCACTTACTCCACCAGAGGCAAATAATTGATTGTAAAAGTTAGTAAAAGCACTATTAATCAGATCCTCCTCTTTAATCTAGCCACCATCCTCACCTCGTAACTTGACCATCTTATTTCTCACACGTCTCTAGATAGTGCTTGAGTGAAAAACCTGGTATTCCTATCTGTCACATTCAACCAACTAACTCTCTATCTCTGCCATCGGTATTTTTCCTCTCTATCTAAGTCTTCCTTAATTTGCTTAACAAGACATTCAATTTATGCTCTTCTAGCTTCAGTTAAAATTCCCCTTCTACACCCTTAAAGTTGGATAGTAAGTCTTTCCACTTCCTTTTTAGCATTTGGAAAAGTGTTTCTAGCCCATTGAGAAAAAATCTTCTTGCAATTATTAATTCTCCAAACCAACTCCACTACCTTATCATCATCACAAGTTACCCCTAATCTTTAACCTTTTCGCATAGTATCCAGAAATTCCTTATGCTCAGACCAAAATGCCTCAAATCTAAACATTCTTAGAACTCTTAGCAACTTAAATTCAAAATTCACCATTAATATATGATGATCAGAACCTACAGGTTCAATATGCAGTACCACAGCATTTGGAAATTCTTTCCTAAAATCAACATTCCCAACCACCCTATCCAACCTTTCCTTAACATGAGCATCACCAATTCTGCCATTGCCATTGCACCATGTATACACACTTTCCTTATATCGTAAATCCATTAATTCATAATTAGCCAACATACATTGAAAATTTAGCACTTTTCTCATATCTGCAGGGAACAAACCTAACTTCTCAGAACACATCATCACATCATTAAAATCACCAAGACTCATCCACGAGCCCCTAATTCTAGCAGCAATACTTCACATTTTATCCCACACTTTCATCTTATCTTCCACTCTAGGGGCTCTATACACAAAAGTAATATAACTAGGTACCTTTACAGAAGAAGGTTTAAGGCTAACATGAACAATATTCTTAGAAAAATACCAAACATTAATCATCACTTCCTTCACCTACTATAGCGCCAAACCTCCACTTCTTCCCATCGGATTCACATAAAACTCTTTATCCAACTTACACTTCTTCTGCAATTTCTGCATCCTACTGTCACATAACTTGTTTCCATTAAAAACATCACTAGGGGCTTATTCTTGATACATTTCTCTTTTAGCTTCTTTATTGTCAAGGCCACCCTTAAACCTTTACAGTTCCATGATAATAGCATCATGGCCTTTAGGTGGTTGAAATAGGCCAGCCACCTAAGCCTTCAAAAACATCCATTCCCTCAATACAAGCCTCATCACCATCCTCTTTCATCCCTTCGACCTTCCTCCTACGCCCCTTACTTCTGCCATTACCACCATTTTTCCTCAAAGAAGCTTTAACAGCCTTCAAGCTTTTAGAAAAAAAATGAAGTAATAGTCTCACTATTTATAATAGCTCCTTCCATCCTCCTTCGCTTACTCTATTCAGGCACAACATCATCATCTGCTTGTCTTTTTAGACCTAAACTCTCAAGGCCTTTAGCAACTTTGAACACCTCCTGCTTGATCACTAGAATAATGGCCCAATTCAATTTCTTATTAACCCCCTCACAACCTACTGCAGGCTCGATATATCCACCAGCTCAATCAATACCTTCTCCTCCCCCTTATTCACCTTACTTACACTATGCCTAACAAGATTTGGCCCATTAGATACAACCTCATTTTCCTTATTATCAAAACTACAACTTCACTGCACAGTTGTTACATCGTCTTCTTTATAATCAATACAACTCCGCAGAATCTGACTAGTCCCCTTCTGCTTCATACTCCTCCCACCTTTCTCCAGCTTACTCACAAACATGTCATCTTCATAGTCCTTACTAACCTCCTTAGACACACCCACCCCCTTGCCACTACTCACCACATTCATAATAGACTTATTATGACGACTTCGAGTCTTCTCTGGCTAATTCTCCTTTAATATCACTGTGACCTCTTTCCAAAATCTAACAGAATTAGTAGAGGTCTAAGCACCCTACCTTGGCTCATTTAGAACAGCAATCGACATTAGCCTTTTTGATTTACAAGCACGCGGATCATGCTCGATCATTTTGCATTTGTAACAAAAATTCTCTAATCTCTCATACTTCACAGAGATCGAGGTCATATCCTTGTTAGGCTTTGGTAACCAAAAACCAGATGCTAATGATTTCTGTAGATTCAAAATGACACGGACTCTCAAGAAACCTCAAGATAATCTGCCATTAATCCACATATTCTCCACTATCACAACCTCACCCACTCGTCCTTTAATCTGTATATCATTTTCCAAATTCATCGCCACTAGAGGCACATTATGCAACTGGATCTAGATTGGAATACAACTAAAATCTAACTCTTCCACGGCCTCATACGTCAACCATTGCTGTATATTCAATAAATGGCCATTAATTGACCAAGGACGTCCACGCATAATACGATAATACTCATCCTCCTCCGTGAAACTAAATGCATAAGCATTACCTTGAATTTCAGTAATCTTTAGACCATCATGAAGATTCCAAGCCTTTCTCACCATTGATTCAAATGTAGGCTTGTTAAAATCCTTCACCATCAATAATTTCCCAACCAATACCTTCCTTGATTCATCTTCCTTCCAGACAATTGGTTCATGAATAACAGTACTAGAATCATCCTTCACCACTCCTGACTCCATATTCACCTCACCTTTGTTCGCCGTCCTTGATACCTACCTCCATACCTCTGATCACCTCACACAATCTTACAATCACTCGACTCTCATGTACATTGTATGGAGAGAAACTAGGCTCTCACTTGGGAGAGAGTCTATACTTTTTAACTGATAGTAAATAATAACTTTGAGAATAAATGTAAAGAAATCAACTTTACCAAGTCTCATTGTTAACAATAAGGTAATAGGGATAATATGAGTAAGATTGGCCCAAAAAAAAAAGTATAATGAGTAGGGATAATCTTTTAAAAATAAAGCTTGGAAGTCATTTTATCCACGATGTTCATATTGTTTTTATCCGTTAGAAAAAAAAATAAAATCATTTGATCTATCATAGCCTTAACTATAAAAGGTAATGAAGATGAGAGAATGACATTTAAGAATCTTATAAAAGAATTAATATAAAACAAGGACCTTCAAATTATAAATATAAAATCTTGAATTGTAAACATAAAAGTATGAGTTATACTCATGAAGTCTTGATTTTACTCTTAATCGTCATTCTCTCAATAATTAAGATTGCGATGTGATAATATTTATGTTTTAATTACAAGAAAGGACTATATAATGAGATTTTAATTATTTAAGGTTAAAGTATACTTTTTAATTTTTTTAACTTTATAAAGTGCATGTTTGGATTTGTTTGATAAACGATTTTTTCAGCAAAAAAATCGATTTTTTAAAAACATACCCAAACGCCAATTAAATGATAATCGATTATAAAGAGAAAAATTGATTAAGTCCTTAAGCTGTACCGGCGCGCTTCTGGCGTTTAATTAGAAGGGAAGAGAATAAAAAAAAAAGTTCAAAAAGCACATGAAAAAATTAAAAAAAGGCCTGGGAAAAAATTATAAAAAGACATAAAATTTAATGAAAATAAAACTGAACTCTCTTATCTTCTCTCTATTTTTTTTATCTTAGTAAAATTCAAACTTTAGATACTGAAGAAAGTTGTTAATATAAGTTCTTATCAATCACCACCGTTTATTTACAAAATATTAATTGATAGAGGAAATTTAATTTAAAATTTATGGTCATTCCAAAGATTATTGCAAAGGTCCAAAGAGAGAGATATTTTGTGTCATTTGTTACATTATTATATTTTGTGTTGCAAAATTTTAAAGCAGTGTTTAACATCTTTGTCAAATATAACTTATATTTGTAATATCATTAGAAATCAACTTATATATTATCATCTTCATTAGTTATTGTATAATTGACATTTGGTATTTAGAATTAAATATTTCTCTTTTATTAAATTTATTTGAACTAAGATATAATGATATGTAAATTAAAATGTTAATATTAATATAATTTATTTTTTAATTAATCAGATATATAATTTAAATAATATATTTTACTTCTTAAATAAAATTTAACAAATTTAATAAATGAGATACAAATTTATCAATAATTTAATTTTAAAAAGAAATGTCCTTTATAGTAATTTATACAACTAAAATTGATTTTAATTAAATTATCCAAACATCTTCAATTCTATTAAAATTAATTTTAGAAAAATAGTATCCAAATAGATTGCATTATAACATAATCAATTATGATTAAAATTAAATATTTAATCAATTATTTTCATAATCAATTATACCCAACTGAAATCCAAACGGACACAAAGGTTTCGTTTAGATCTTTTAATTTTATAAAATATCTTTTTAGTTTTTTTACTCTAACACAGTTAATTTTAAATGATTATTTTTTATATCAATTCTTATTATTTTAAAAAATTAAACTAAATATGTTAATATTTAAAAATATTTTTTTTAATATTTAATAGTTTAGTATACAAAATTTTTATTTATGAAACTAATAGTGTTTAGATTAAAAGATTAAAAAAATATTTTATAAAATTAAATAATTAAAATGAAGTTTTATATAACTTTAGGGGAGTAAAAATATATTTGAACCATTATTTAACAATTGCTCTAAAATTTCACAACATTGTTTACAATTACTATGCAAATCGTGGTTAGTTTCATAGCGATAAAGAAAAAAATATATAGACAAAACCAATGATTTTAAAGCCGGACCGGACCGGATGGTCGGACCGGTCCGACCGTCGGCCAGTCCACATTCCGGCTCGGCCAGAAGGGAAAAACTGTGTGAGAGGTTGAGCCGGGTTGAGCCGGCCAAAATCGTCAGTTGGGCCGCGAACCGGAGTTGGGCCGCGAATTGGGTCCGGTTTTTAAAAGCCGGACGGTTCTATTTTTTTTTACCCCATATATTTTAGAAAGAATGCAGAACAAACCACAAAGCACAAAGTCGCAGACAGAGGGATACCGGCACCACACGCACGCTCAGCTCTTAGATTGCAGCTCACAAGTTAGTCACGGTTTCAGATCTCTCGTCTTTTTAAGCTACAAAGTCATAGTTCGGTACCGATTTTCTGGCTTCTTGTTTAGACTTTCAGATCACTTTCACAATTGCCGCATCTGGTTTGGCTTGTTGTTTCAGTTCTTGGTTTCACGATTTCAATTCAGAGCTGCGAACTGTGAAGTCACGGACTCACGGTCGGCGCATCTGGTAAATTTCTGATTTGGGATTTGATTGAGGTTTCTGTGCTGACTGCTGAGTACTTTTCTTTAATTTTTATCTGTTTATTTTGTTTCTCCATTTTTGATTATTTGCGGTTTTGTGAGTGTGTCTGTGTGTGCATTGACTTCTTAAGGATTGAAAGAGATTTAACAGGAATTTCCAGTATTATGGAAGCTGAAGAGATTGAAAGAGTTGGAAGATTTCGTTTTGTATCGAAATTGATTTTATCCGCTATTTTTTGGGCTCTCACGGGATGTTTTGCCATGGGTAATGAAAGCTGTTTTCTTCTTCAACTTCGATTTACATGTGGTCTAAGTGAATTGAATTATTCTTCGCTTATAATCTTTCTCTTAGTTACTTCGGCTTCTTAAAAAAAATTAAAGACCCCCCATTTCATTTTCTCTTGGTTTCTATATAATTCTTGACCCTTGCTGTTATCAATTGGAAAACCGGGAGTAACTTGGATTGAAACTGGATTGAGTTATGTTGTTGTTTGCTTCTTACTTCTCCAATTGATTATGGTGAAATTTCATTGTTATTTAAATAGCATCTCTTGTTGCTAATTTGTTAAAGCAGCATGTTTTATTAAGCTAACATCTGTCCGCATGCAATTCCCTAATGCAGTGGGAATATACTCAGCAGTCAGCACAGAGCCACAGACACATTTTCTTTGAGCTTCGATTTCAAGCTTCCCACTGTGACTTCACTGAATTTTTTATTTTTTCCAGAGTTGTGACTTTACTGAATTGATTAGGTCTTTTAATGACAAATCTAAATTTTGCCTTGTAGAAAATGACATCTGAAAATGCTTCAACTACTGCATCAACACAATCTGTTAGATCAAAGACAGATCCTACATGGGAGCATTGTGCTGAAGTCAAGCTCCCAGATGGCAAAATTCGCCTAAAATGTTTGTACTGTGCAAAAGAATTTGCTGGTGGAGGGATTCATAGAATGAAACAACATCTTGCTGGAAAGAAAGGGGATGCAATAAGTTGTAAAAAGGTGCCTGCTGATGTTCGCTACCGACTTGAAGAAAATTTAAAGGAGATTAGGGAGAATAAAGGTAAAAGGCAAGATAGTTATGAAGAGGACAATCCATATGGCCCTAATGTCACACCATTAGAAAGTCATGATGGAAATTCAAAAGAAATTTCTACTCCTCAATCTCAAACCCTCAAGGAAATTCAATCACAAAGTCAAACGCAACTTGGAAAAAGAAAGGCTCCTATTGACAAATATTTTGCACCAAGAACAACCCCAGGAGCACAGCCAGGGATACGAAGTGCGCTTGCAGGTAAAGAACCTATACGTAGGGCAGACATGGCTTTTGCTAAGTGGATGTATGATTGTTGTATCCCATTGAATGTTGTCAATTCAGCATTCTTTCAACCTATGATTGATGCGTTTACAGCTATTGGCCCTGGTTATAAAGGGCCAAGTTATCATGCCATGAGAACTAAATTATTGCTTGATACTAAAAAGGAAGTTCAATTAATGGTTGATAGTTTTAGAAACTTTTGGGATGATATTGGTTGTACAATCATGGCCGATGGTTGGCAAGATCAAGCAAATAGGCAATTGATTAACTTTCTTGTCTATTCTCCTAGGGGAATTGTTTTTATTAAATCTGTTGATGCATCGGACATAGTCAAGGATGCCCAAAATTTGTGCAACTTATTCACTGAAATGGTTGACTTTGTTGGAGTCACAAATGTTGTGCACTTGGTAATTGATAATGCAGCTAATTATAAAGCTGCTGGGCAGTTATTATGTGATAAATTTCCTTCTATTTTTTGGTCTCCTTGTGCTGCACATTATTTGAACTTGATTTTAGGAGATATCGGTAAAATGGATATTGTGATTGGCTTGGCAACACGTGCATCTATGGTGACAAAGTTTGTTTATAATCATGCCTTTTTGTTTGCTTGGTTGAGAAAAAGAGAAGGTTGGACTGAAATTATTCGCCCTGGGGTGACACGATTTGCTACTACTTTTATTGCATTGAAAAGTATTCATGAGCATAAACATGATTTGCAAGCCTTGGTAACTAGCAAAGTATTTTTAGATTCTAGATACTCAAAAGGAGAAAAGGCAAAGGATGTGACTTTAATAGTGCTAGACAATCAATTTTGGAATGATTGTAAAATTGTGGTCCAAATTGTTTCACCACTTATTCGATTGTTGAGGATTGTTGATGCTGATGAGAGGCCTTCACTTGGGTATGTATATGATGGCATGTATAGGGCAAGAAAAACTATCAAGAATATATTAATGAATAAAAAGCCCTTGTATAAGCCTTACACAAGGATTATCAAGAAAAGGTGGGATTCTCAACTTCGTCAGAAGCTTCATGCAGCAGCTTATTTCCTAAATCCTGTGTTTTTTTATGATAAGCAGAGCTTTTCTAAAAAGCCAGAGGTTATAGCTGGATTTCTTGATGTTTTGGATAAGACAATCACTTCTAACAAAACCAAGTTTGTGCAAGAAAGTTTGTTGTATCAAGATAGAGTTGACAGCTTCGGTCGTTCCTTGGCCATTTCATCTATAAACTCATTGCGGCCAAGTAAATTTTAATGCTTTTTTCATTTAACTTTAATAGTTTTTAGTTTTTATAGTTCTTACTTGTGTTTATCTTTGATGCTAAATTTTGCAGATGAATGGTGGAAAATGTTTGGTGATAGTGCACCAAATGTTAAAAAATTGGCAATGAGACTCTCAAGCCAAACTTCATCTTCATCTGGTTGTGAAAGAAATTGGAGTGTTTTTGAAAGAATACACTTTAAAAAAAGAAATAGGTTGGAGCATAAAAGGTTAAATGATCTTGTGTTTATTCATTACAACCTTCGTTTGAGAAATAGGTATATCATTTAATTATAGCTAAACTTTGTTTAACATGAGTTTAATTATAAGTTAACTTCTAAAATTTTAATACTTTGGTTATGTGTTTTAGAGTTTATAACAAGAAAAGATCTTTTGATCCTATTGATTATGAAAGTATTGGTGACATTGAGTATTGGATCATGGAAGATGAAGATTCTCCCACCTTTAATTATGATGAGATAGAAGAAGCTATGCTTTATGATGATACAATAATTCCACAAGTTTCTATCAATCAAGATGAAGGTTTGATCTTTGAAATTTTTTAGTATTTACTATTTAGTCATGTTATTTTTTTCTTATAATATGTGTTACTTATTAATTTTAATATTTGATTTGTTACATTATTTAATAAAGGTAATAATGAAGGAGGAGGCAATGAGGTTCCGTCTGGGGGTGGATGTTCAATCATAGAAGGACTTGATTTGAGATCTTTTGCCCAAGATGTTGAAACTTATAATTATGATGATTTACGAGAAACTCATGCTTGGCTTAATCAGGATCCACCAATCTTTGATAAGTCATGAATAGATAAATATGATGTTATGCTTGTTTAAATTGTTGGTGTGTTGTGTTGTATTGTCTTGTTAGTTGTTATTTTGTCATATGTTGAAGTTGAAGTTGACTATTTATCTTAATATTTTAATTATTTGATGTTTTGTTTATATTATTTTATAGATATATAATTTTTAAATTTAATTATGACGTTACCGGTTCGACCATTGGTCCAACCCGATTGAACCATGCGAATCACGGACCGCTGTCCTCTCCGGTTCAATATCCGGTCCGGTTTTAAAAACATTATTTTTTACGCAATAAAAAATTGATTCCCTTCCCACTTGCGCAGCCGAATTGTGCATCATCACTCAACACCAGCAGGGTTCAACGGTGACTGCATTCCAATTTCGGCTTCGATTCCGCAACGAACATCATTATGGCCAAGAAATCAAAATGCGATTATCTACTAATCAATCATTCGCTTTCATCTCTTCTCTCTCGCCTTCGTTCTCACATTTAAAATCTCCGTAATCCATTCTCTTCCCTACTCATTTTCGCTACTTCCTTCTGAAATAAAACCCTAGTTTTTTCAAGTCCCAATTTCGAAGTTCCACTCCTGAGTCTTGAAAAACTCAACAGCCCAATAATTTAAACTTCCCTGTATATATGTTTTCTTGTTTTTTTGTTTTTGGTTGCATAACATGACCACTGTTTTTACGTTTTTGTAATATCAGTTGCTAAGCAATAAAAGAACCTCCATTGATTAATTCATTTTGTCTTTTGCATTATAAGGAATTTGGGTTTTGGTTGTTTTTCTATTTGTGGTATTCATCATTTTTTTTTTCTGGAGATGACATTCCAATCTTGGGTTCTTAGTCAGCCAGTCTTCATTTCCGGCTCCAAATTAATTTACACTGCCTGTGAGAATCGGCCAAAAAGAGTGCCGATGAAAGTTTTGGCGACAGTCAGTAGTTACCCATTTCCCGTCGTGTCAAATTGTGTTGGTCCATTCGCTTCTAGAAGTTTTTCTGCTTCCAGATATGGGAAAAATGACAAGTTACGTGGCAGAGCTCGCTTGAGATGTTTGTGTGGAAGTAATGACTATTTGGGTGGGAGCAATTCTGTTTCAAATGTAAATACAAAGTTTATTCTGGAATTAGTGAAGAGGGGCATAATTCTGGCTGCAACGGTTTGTGGCATGTTGGCAGTTGGATGTCAACGAGTCTTTGCAATTGAAGGTGTAGTAAACGCAGGATATGGAGTTTTTGGACAGAGCATATTGTTGCTCAGGAATGCATGGCCTAAAGTGTTACAAGTTCTTCGGATGTTTAAAGAGCAAGGTTTGATACTAGTTGTTCTTTTGGGTCTTTCGGCATTTTTCTCCATGGCAGAGACTTCAATTACGACACTTTGGCCTTGGAAGGTATCTATTACAGCCCTTACCATATGCTAATTGGTCATAAGTTGGGATTAGTGACTATGTTTGATATTAAAACATCATCCAACTTATATAGACATACTTAATAAAGTCAGTGTTGACATTTGGAGGTGAACGTAGTGAGCAATTGAGATAAGCTTGCAAACACACATATGGCTGTCTGATGTTTTGCCTTTAGGTAAAAAGAGGACAGTCAATCTTGGTCAATTAGACGCCAGCCATTTGGTACGAATGCTAATAGGAATTTCACTAGAGAACATATTTTGACTGGATTATTGGTTGGACCGCAAGTTTATCAATTACTTCTCTGATTCCAGTTAAGCTCTTGATTTTGTAATTCACTTTTATGTTATTTCAGTTGAATAATTCTACTGGTTTAAGGATCAAGTAATAGACCTCCTTTTCTGTTTGGAATTTATGTTCTCAATGTGGCTGTAATTTTGTGCACTTGGGCTTTGCCTTAACATTTATTTACTTAGTTAATAGTTAGCTGGTTAAAGTCTAGAAGTCTCATCATTGTTGATGATAATTTGTACAAAGGTTCGCGAGCTTGCTGAAAAGGAGTCTGAAAATGGTGTCTTTAGACTACTCCGAAGTGATGTTACTCGGTTCCTTACAACTATACTTATTGGCACAACGTAATCCTCTTGCACCAATTCTAGTCAGTGATGTTCCATTACTTCTACTCTAATTTAATGTCTTTCTTATTTGTCTCTACTTTTATGTACCCAGTGTAGTCAATATTGGAGCAACAGCCCTGGTCACAGAAGCTGCAACTGCTATTTTTGGTGAAGCTGGTGTTAGTGCTGCAACAGGAGTGATGACTGTATGTTCTGTTACATTCAATTTTGAGCACTTGAAAATTTGAGAAATCTAGTTCTCTTCTTCCTGCATATAAAAACATTGTTAAATAGTCTAGGCTATTGAATTTGACTCTCAAATTTCCAGGCCCACTAGGCTGTTAAATTGTTAATTTGCTTTGAAGCATTTTATTTATCAATGTATATAATTGACTGCTTTTATATAAACTTGTGAATTCCTGATTTTTTTTTTGACAATAAATACAGCATTTCAGCTTTACCTAACTTACGTATCAAGATCTGAATTTAAGTAATTAGATGAAGTCTTAATTTGTACAATTATAAACCTCCTCAAGGGTGTGCTTGAGAGTATGTGATGGAACGAAAAGGAACGGTCATTAATGGAATGCAATGGGGTGGAGTGGGATGGAGAGGAACAAAATAGAACATGCCATTGTTTGGAACTTTTATCAGAGAAATGAATGATTTTATTTAATAATTACTTAAAATTAATATATTTGAATTAGATATATTTATATTTTGCAATATTAGGGTGAAAGGGAGTGATATAGTGAGAGGGGCCGACAAGGATGAGGATAATTTTACAATAATATTATTTATATTAGGCCGTTTCATCTTCAACCCACATTGGGGGCTTAGAGAAAATGGGCTTAGGAGTTAGGATAACTAAGGATGGCTCGGAAGGCCATCCCAAGCCATTCCATTTCCTTTTAAAAAATACTCCCAAACAAATGGTATAAAATTTTTAGCCATCCCACTCTATTTCATTCCATTAAAAAAAAAAAAGAAAAATCCCAAACAATACCTAAAGGTACACTTACAAAAAAATTTATAGATGCAGGTTATCCCCTTTATTATCTTAATCAGCCTTGCATATTTTAAATTTATGTTTATTAATTTTCTTTAAATAATTATTATAAAATATTTCTGAGTGTTTTCTTAAATTTTATTATTATTTTTTACCTAACTGTCTGATTGCATTAGATTGATCACAAAAGTGACAGAATACCACGTTAGCGCTTCATTTGGACTTAAGGACGTCTTGACCTGGATGTACTACATGATCATTGCTTCTCTCCGTAAATGCTACCATATTTACCTCAACTAATAAAGCATGGCTTCTAATTTAGAGAGACAAATTCTTCAGGATTTCCTCTTCTCAAGCTGAGCTCTTTGGTTGCCAGGATCATTCCATTAACCCCATGATGGACTGAATCTTATACTATCATATGATCACTTTCTTTTCTCTCTTTCCCTTCCCTAATTCCATTGTTGTTACCTGGATAGAATTCATTGGCATGAAAAGAAAGTTATTCTAAAAGATGTTAGCAAGAAACTTTTTGGTTTTGAATCACTAAAAATGCACGCTGCATAATTTTAAGAAAAATGTCATTTCAGCTTTGTGGTTGTTTATCCTCTGAAATTTGATGCATGCTTCACTATCTGGCTGTTTGTGACTTCTGGTCGTAAACTAGTCTTTGAAGAAAAATTATATGTTGAGTACAAGGTGATTTTGACGCTAAGTTTCCTCTTGTAAGTTCTTTTGTTTTTGCATAAATATCTTAGTTCTGTCTTTTCTCCTTATTTCATTTTAGGTTGCCATTTTGCTGCTCACAGAAATCACTCCAAAGAGTATAGCTGTTCATAATCCAACTGAGGTGGCCAGGTTTGTGGTAAGTTATATTTTCTTCTTAAATATATATATATATATATTGTTTTGATACTGGAATAATGCACGGTAGACATAAATTTATCATTTCAAATTGTCAATTGTACCTACATTTCATTCCTGATTTGACTTCATTTTCTAACAAATTTTGGCTCTAAATGCCCGTAGGTCAGGCCAGTGGCTTGGCTTTCCCTGGTATTGTATCCAGCAGGAAGAATTGTTACTTATCTTTCAATGGGGATGCTGAAATTGCTTGGCTTAAAAGGAAGAAGGTCTGCCGTAAAGATAGCCGGGGATTGTTATTTCTTCTTGTGTTGTATATATTTTTCTAACAGTTTATCCAAGTTTTTGGTGCATAATAATTTTATGTACAATATTTTAGTTCTTTCATCACTGCAATAATTTCTGTGTTTTCATCGTTGCGATTTCTGTCAATTTTCTACAGTTCAGTTTAGGGTAACTTACAGTACCTAAAAGTTATCAGGAAGCAGCAAATGGTGGTATTGAAGAGATGTAGTTGTTAAAGTAATAATTTAAGGAATTTATATGCACTAGATTATTGGTGCCACTTTGGACTTTTAAATTGGTGAACAGTAGATGAGAAAATTTCCCGTGCATATTGAAGATTTTTAATATATTGTTGAGTTGATTTGGGAGTAAATAATCATTAATGTATTTCCCAACTCTTGTTTCAAAGGACAATGTTTGTTTAACACATTTTACGCTCTAAAATCACTTCTCACGTAACGTAAAGTTAAAGAGTGCCTGTGCTATTCTTTTTCCATTTGGTGGTTGGTATGATACTTGATACATGCTTATTGCTAGTATTGAACTATTATTGTCAATGTTTACTGTACCAGTGAACCCTATGTAACTGAAGATGAGCTGAAATTGATGTTAAGAGGTGCAGAGTTGAGTGGGGCAATAGAGGAGGAAGAACAGGTATTAAATATTAGTGTTCTATTCAAATAAAGTGAAGAAAATTAGTATATTTGGGGATCCTTAATATCAATGCTGACATTCATTGATATAGGAATTTACTTTCAGAGTGATTTATATGGTTCCTTTCTCCCCCATCTGTATATTGGGTTATTTACTAATGATTTGAGAACTCTATTAATGGTTTCATTAGCATACTAATCCTGGTTTCGTCACCCCAGGAATATCTCATTGCTATGAAATTAAAATCTGAAATGTTTGTTAACTTACAATAGACTATTATATATATAGAATTTATTGTATTAAAATAACTGTAATGTATTTGCGATTGCATCAGAAAGTGATAATTGAATGGAGCGATTTAATTTTCCAGAAGTTTCAAAGAAGGACTGGTTTTAGAAGACCGTTGGTATTTGGTAGAACCATTGATGTTTACTACAGAACTGGGTGACATCATCTATCATCTAAGCAACTGCTTTATTTTCGTTAAGCTGATATATTTTTTGAACATATTTTCACCAGCTGTTACTCTGACATTGGTTCTACCTGCCGTATTGGGATCCCAGTGGTATTCTTCCTGTTTAGTTGTCATTGCTATGGCCTTGCTAATATACAACAACAGCAAGTCTTATCCCATTGGATGGGTTCGGTTACATGCGTTGATAATATATATATACATATATAAGTAAAATGAGTATTCCATCATATGTACTATGTTGCATAATAAGGGTAAGAAGCTTATTATGTGTGATACATTGGGTGTGGAAAACTTCCCATTTTTTTATGCATGATCTATTCCAATCTTTATCTTCTATTGTTGAAAAAGGTTTTTTTTTTTTAATGTGCTAAATTAGAAAACATTCTGTTTCTTGCACATAACATGATAAAAATCTGTTAAATGGAAAATACGAAGTCTTCTGTTTTTGGAGAAATATGGAATGTTTATCTTGAAAACATGAACAATTATTGGTTGTCTGTAAAGGAAACCCCTCTTTTTTAATGCTGTTGTAGATTTTTTAATAATTTTATTATGTAATGAAAAAGGATTTAGAGAGAGGATATGTAAAAACATGGATTGATGAGAAAGCCTACTTGAACAGATGTGCATGGAAAAATTACTTTCATCAGTCACATATCTTCAGTTTTCTGGTAAGTATGAATGATGGAGAAAATTCTTTTTTGTAGGATATGATCGAAAATGTGCTGGAGATAAAAGACACGCATGTTAGAGAAGTCATGACACCTCTTGTTGATGTTGTTGCAATCGATGCAAGTGCAAGCCTTGTAGATTTCCACGATTTGTGGGTCACTCATCAATACTCAAGGTTTGTCAAGATCCTTTGAGTTTATAATGCAACTTTTTTAAAAAAAAAAAAGTTTGCTAACTGGGTCATGATATCTTTTCTAGGGTGCCTGTTTTTGAGCAACGTGTTGATAATATAATGGGTATTGCATATGCAATGGATCTCCTAGATTATGTTCAAAAGGTTGCGAGATTTAACTCCTGTTATCTCTTGTACTTGTTATAAGTGCTTTGGCTATTAATTCTATACCCAATCTCATAGTTTGCAGAATTGTAATCTCTTTGATTTTGAAGGGTGAGCTACTAGAAAGTACCACCGTTGGAGATATGGCCCACAAGCCTGCCTATTTTGTTCCTGGTAACTAATTTCTTTCACAACCTTGTGTGATCGAGTCATGTCCATGTGATTACTTTCTGGCTGGTTGCTGGTATTTCACTTCAAAGTTTAGGCATGAACGCATCAAAACAAGTAGGAATAGTCAGCTTCTGACCTCTCCAAATCTGCCTCCTATTTTTGACCATTCATGCTTTTTTCTAGTAGATAAAAACTATAAGCTTTGGTCCATGAGCATTCTATATCTATTGCCTTTAATCAGCCTTGGACAACTATAGCTTGAAAGGTTAGTGAGATGTTCTTTCCCATCAAGCTCAGAAAAGAAGAGTCTTAAGTTATTCATATATGATGCCAGACGCTGGTTGTTCAAACAACCATTTGGGTGAGGAGTCCAGGAGAATGAATTTGTAAATTGTGATGTCTTGAATTTGCTGGTGACCAAGAAAGTTAGAGTAGAGTGCTAGCTGGTGCACAACCTAATGTCACTGTTCTCCAAGAATGAAGTATAATTATCCAAAACTCAAGAAAGAAGAAGGAAAACTAAGGTTGAGATCATCTGCTGCAATAATTGATAAAAAATATCATTGTGAAAGGGCAAAATGCGATTTATTAACTGTGAACAAATGTGTCAGATGGACTGGGCTGGAATGGATGAAAGAATCATTGCTACTTTATTAAATTGCGTATTTATTTAGTATTTTATTTATCTATATTGGAGGTGGAGTGAAGTGTTCTTTTCGCATTCACTGATTTCATTGCAATTACTGCTTGCCCTGTTGACCATGTGCTAGTCCAGGCATCTCATTTCATGTTTGGGATAGATTTGGGGGCTTAAACGTGATTCTAAGATGCTTGTCTCTGAATATGGACCATATTTTCTATCATTATTTTGCAAGACATCATTTTCTCTTGATAATCGTTCACTTTCTTTGACTCCCGCAAATTACTTAATAGCTGGCATCGAGGGAAGGAAAGTAAGCAGTATGGCTTATATTCAAGCATTGTCTGCATTCTTAATGACTATTCTTATTGTGCTTGCTTGTTCAACTTGGTTGGTTAAGAAAAAATGCACATATTCATGTTTAGTGTACATTGTTGGATGAATAAATTCTTATAATTGGTTTTGCAGATTCAATGTCTGTTTGGAATCTTCTCAGAGAGTTCCGAATCCGAAAAGTTCACATGGCTGTTGTGCTTAATGAGTATGGTGGAACTGTGGGAGTACGTAAACACCTCCTTAAAGCAAACTAAAATTGACAAACTTTTTTGACATTAACCATTGGAATATGATGTAAAATGTTTGATTCATTGAAAATATACCATGCTAATTAGTTTTGCAAATTAAAGGTAGCCTGTGATAGGGTAGAAATTAAAAGATGCTATCTCTGGATTTTTGCTTCTTCTTTTGTCTTTCTATGAGTATGGTGGAACTATGGGTGTGTGTACACACCTTGTTAAAGCCAACTAAAATAGATCGGTGTCTGACATCAAACATTAAAATATGATGTAAAATGTTTGATTCATTGAAAATATATCATGCTAATTAGCTTTGTATTAAAAGGAAGCTTATGATAGGTAGTAGTTGAATCATTCTGTCCTGTTTTTTTTTCCTTCATTTATTTTTCTATACTCTAATTATTTTATTTCTTTTCTTGTATTAATTTGGAATTAGAGGTCACAAAATCAGCTTCACGATTTTGATTAACCACAATGAGTTTTTGCACAAATATTTGCAAATTATCTAATTTTTTTTAACCTTCTTTAGAACTAGAAATCTGTAAGGCTATAATATTCTGATTTACTAAATAGCTATTGCGTCAATTTCTTGCCCTTATCTCTCCTAGTTTTATAACTAATAGCCAATTTTCTATTTTCAGTTTTCTATTGAGTGAAGTAAACATTTCTTATATATTTTAATTCAGAGGGAAGGTTGTTGGGTGGGTGTAGTTAGTTAGATTTTTGCTAAACACTACTTCTGAAGTCTATTTTATATAATTTGCCCATAAGTTTTAACATGAAGCAAGCTGATATGCTTGGAACCTAAATATCTGATTTCAGCTTCAATTTGATAGATTGTAACTCTGGAAGATGCTGTTGAGGAAATTGTTGGTGAAATCTTTGATGAAAATGACTCAAAGGTAAAGCTCATTACCAATGCTTTTGTCTAGCTTTTACTCTCATGTTTATTTTCAACCAACACTAGGAGCAGGATTGTTTTGATAATTACTATTATTTCCTGAACATTACCTGAAAACTTCCTTCATTCATTAGTTTTTATTGTCTTCTCTCTGTTTAGACATAAGCTAGTCTATTTTGTGTGGCACCGCACCAGTGGTGACCGAATTAAAGCCCTTTATGTTGAACGCAGTTAAAATTTTTTTATTCTTTGAAAATAGTGAGAGGAAGTTTATGAAGTAATAATGTCTCCTGATGAGATGTAGCTCGGTTTGATTTTAAGTTCTTATAATTCCACATGAAAATAATGCATTTCTATACCTTTTTTTATGAGCATATATACAATAAAATCACGCTCTTTGAAGGTTGTAAATGGCACCACTGATTTGATATTGTAGCATGATTTTGTTTAATTTTATATACGTGTCAAAATGCCTTTTCTGCATTATTTCTCATTCAAGTTCTGCCCATCAGAAATAACAAAATCTAAAGTTTGTCTTACCTTAATTTGTCTCTGGTAGCTCTAGGATATTGTTAGGGTTTGGGTTTAGCTGTTTTATGTGGCTCATTTTTTTTTTTTTGTACCTTAATAATTGATTCCAATTGTCAACTTTTTAATTTATTTCTCAGTATAATGATTTGCACATCGGTATATAAATTACCTTTTCTTCTTTGGTGATTCAACAGGAGGAGATACAGAAAAAAACTGGGTACATTGTCATGCGAGCTGAGGGTATATTTGATGTAGATGCAAATACATCAATCGATCAGCTCTCTGAAGATTTGAACATCAAGATGCCAGAGGTTCACTATTTTATTATATGTGCAACTTTTATAAATGTCTTACGAATAAAGTGGCAGTGTTTGTAAGTGTAGTCTGGTGTAATAACCCTTGCATTAGGCTTTAGTTAATGCAATTTTCCATGTTTCTATACCAGGATGTACAACATAGAGCCATTTATCATGAGTAGTTATGAATCAACCCATAGAATAGCCATCTTAGTCTGAGATTTTTCCTCAAGTTGTAGAGCCTATTCAAGCAGGTTTGTAATGAAATACTGGTCTCATAATGCTTACTTGGGCTGACTTTCCTTATACAGGGTCATCAATATGAGACAGTTTCAGGCTTTGTATGTGAAGCATTTGGCTACATCCCAAGGACAGGTGAGTGCGTCAAGGTGGTTCTTGAAAGGGAAGATGAAGATGAAAATGATGAGTCTAACGGTGATAACCAGGATGCAAAGGAGAAGTATCAGGTTTTTAAACTTGAGGTAATTATTTTTTTTATTTTCTGGAATTCTGGAAATCATATGTGTTTCCCATGCCTTCTGAAAAGTTAGAGAGGGTAAGAAAAGGAAAGATTAAGGAGCCAGGCGAGGGTGCACATAATGAGTACAATGGAAATACACCTGCAACAATAGATTAACAGTTAAAGTGCATTTTTGCTCATCAATTATTTGCTCAAAATTATCTGGTATTCTAAACTTCCATGTGGTACAATTTTTTCCTTCAATATTTGAAAATGGTTAATTGAACACCCTAGCGCTGAAAAAGTTAACTTTGACTGTAGGTAACTTCAAAATTGCAGAAAATGATATAAAAAATTACACAAAATGACCTATAAAATTACACATAAGTATCTTATAGGAAAATTAATATCAATTAAATCCCCTAAATTCCATATAAATTAAAAAATACAAATGTTATTTCTTACCCACATAAAATGGTAAAATATGATTTTGAAACTTCAAAATTGCAGAAAATGATATAAAAAATTACACAAAATGACCTATAAAATTACACATAAGTATCTTATAGGAAAATTAATATCAATTAAATCCCCTAAATTCCATATAAATTAAAAAATACAAATGTTATTTCTTACCCACATAAAATGGTAAAATATGATTTTGATCAACCATCATTTTAGGGATTTAATCAATATTAATTTTTATAAGTTATTTATAATTTTATGGGTCATTTTGTGTAATTTTTAGGTTTTTTTTTTTGCAATTTTTCGGTCAGACTAATGACCAAAAATAACTTTTTTAATGGTAGGGTATTCAATGTATCATTTTTAAATGTTGAAGAGGAAAATTTAATTACATATAAGTTTATTATACCAAACGTTCTTTAGCAAATAGTTGAAAGGGGAAAATGCCCAAGTTCTTGCTCTCAAGTTTCAGCTGATTCTCAAGTCAAAATTTATAATAAAATACATGGCATGAGTGAGACACATTATTTAGAAGCATTGAACAGTACAACTTGTTCCTTAAATTTTGTATAATACATCTGGAAAGGTATTCAGTTACAATATATATGTCCCAACATTTACTGCTTAGCAATGCAAGTCAACCCCAACATGCCATTACACTATTAAAGCATCCAGCCTATATAGTCTTACTGAAATCCTCAGATATATCTAGAGTCAAACTCCCCAATACCTCTAATAGGATTGTGAGCATGCCTGTACCCAACACTATTTGAAGTCTTTTGGGAAATTTTTTATGAAAAGTGTTTGATTTAAATACTTACTGGATAATTTGTAAGTTTGCTTGCAAATTTGAACTTCTTAAAGATTTCAAAGTTAAATATGCAGTTATAAAAAGAACAAGGGTATATAAATTATTGAGTTGTATATGAATTTCTTGATCCAATATTGATATATTGATTTGAATCACGTTTTATTAGAAGATAGAAGTTATCTTATATAGTCGGGTGGGGAAGATTCCAGATGGGTATGGGGTGATAAGAACTTGTACGTTCAAATATTAAGGGGGACCACCAGCCACTTGGATTAATTGGCTTAGGGGTTAATCCAGCTTAACCAAAAATCTCAAGTTCAAGTCCTTAGTATGCAACAGTGATTAAATTTTTGGTGGGAGGCTCTCTAAAGAGTTGTCTGCAAGTTGCTAACCAGATTAGTCTAGATCAAAGACCTAAGATACTGGAGTGAAAGAGAGAAAAAAAATGAAGGGGGGATATCTCTGCAGAGTTTTGCAGCAGCTTGAGACAAAATATTGAAGAATATGACAGTGGTGGACCTTGAAAAACGTGTCTTGTCCTGACCCATTAGCATCCTTTGGACTATGATAAGATAATTTCATAGCTTCTTCACCATATATCTGGATTTACCATCATCTCTATATTCTACGTTGTTCTCCTGTGACCTGTGTGGAATACATGCAAGTTTATTGTTTGTTTTTCTGGCGTAGGTACTAGCAGGAAATGCCAGAAAGGTAAGCGCTGTTCGGTTTGAACGAATAAACAACGAAGAAGAAATGTTGGAGACGAAAGAGGTAGCTAGGCTGGTCCCAAAAATCATGAAGAAAAGGTGGAGTGAAGAAGATTCTGATGGTGCAGAGTACGATGGAGAAGCATTCTCAGAGAGACCACAGGACAGTCTATCTGATGAAGCTGAACATGAAGATGCTCATGATCGTTCTGGCAGACATTAGGTTCTTGATTTTTGATTTTTGATTTTTGTTTTGGGGCTTGTGCCATGAAAAAGATGTGAAGATTTAGAGAGATGTTAAAGAATGAGAATAAATTCAATGGATAATAGGGAGATCAGTGGGATGGGATGCATTTGCATTGTTGTTGGCTTTATTTGCGGCTTTTATTTAAAACTGCTTGAAAGCCATTAATTTTGTCCGAGGTTCTGTTGATAGAATAATCTCTAAGTTCAATGTGGAGTTTGGTTTTCTCTGATATTAGTCACTATTCACTTCAATCCCAATACCTGTCCCAACAAATCTTGAGACTTTTTGTTCATGGTTGAGTTGAGTTGCTCAGAGTTGAGTTTTTTGAACCAAAAATTGAAATGGTTCTAAGAAATTTTGAAAAATCAGACAGGTCTAAATATAGCATAAAAAAGGCTTTAAAATTTTAAGAAAATTAGAAAGTTTAAAAGTTAGACCGTGATTAAAAGTTAACTTTATTTTTGAATCCTTTGCATGTAATATGATATAATTTGAAACTATTTTATTCAGAAAAATATTGATATTTATAAATGTAAATGTAGATATTTTTGAGCTTACTTATCTTTGAATTAATCAAGATATATTTATATTTGACAAATTATAAAATTATGATTTTTCATATTGTTGATTTAAGATCATGTCTTGTTATTTTATTATCAAGACAAATTGTAGATTTATTTCTTATAATATATATAATATTTTTATGTAATTATTATTTAATTATCACATTATTAGTTTGAACTCTGATTTAACTTGTTAGACTATAAAAATTGAGATTTAATGACCTTTTTAGTTTTACATTCCATAGTAATGTTAAGGGAGAATACAATTAATTAAGCTCATTTTAATACGATTAAATATTACAAGATTCATTGATAATTAAATCAACATGACAAAATGACAGTTAATTGTATTATCATTTTGCTATACTCCGCTATTAATGTAACTTATGATATTTAATTGTGTTGTGTAACACCCTCAAATTTACAAACTGATTTTTCGCAAGTTATTAATTCAAGAAATCATTTTTTTTTTCATTGAACCCTTATCATACCCTTATCATGGTAGAAAAATTTCTACCATGATACATCCAAGACAATATACCACAGGTCTTAAAATATCTCAAAAAGCAATCAGAACTATGAGGGACAGACATGATCCTCATAGCATGTTATTTAAATTAGGTCATGAATCAAAAGGGACAGACATAATCCTCTTGGACATATAAATGCATTTAATAAAAAGGATTAGAGTTTACATGCTCCATAGACAAGATATATCCTAAGTTGGCACAAGATACATTGTATAATCCAAAATAAGAGGCAACGTAAAAGATGGTGTCTCATACACCATAATTACACCTCTGGTGCTTTCTCGGCCGGATTCGCTCCTGTAAAAATATTAACCACGGGGAATGAGACTTAAAAGTCTCAGTAACCAAAAATTAATATGTAATGATGCATGCGGATGTAACTAATCATGCGATTGCTAAGTGGGCACACAAAACATTTAACCGAACAATATTTTCAAACAAACTGAACAAGTATTTAATTGCATGACTGCACCTTATATCCTCCTTTCACCATGCTCGGACGCCAAATCACCCGGCCAAAGGTGAGTTGGACCAAGCGACACGCCACTCATTGGGTCCAATGAGGGCTTACCACGTGGTAATAATTAACCGAACAGAAATTCCCATTAACACCATACATTAAAATACCCTGACAAGTCATGCATCATTCAAATATCCAAACAGGAATATATCCGAACAATAATATCTCATCATGATAAACAAAAATAAATTTTTAACCCACTTGGCAATAATTTCAAACAAGTATATACAGTATTTATTTTCAATAATTCATAATTTTTCCAAACAACAAAACAACACATAACCATTCACAAACACACTCATCACAACACATTAATAATGGTTACCTTGTGTCTTGAATAACAAGTTCCCCTTCACAACTCCTTTTTCACCACTATCTTTGTCAATATAATCTACATAATTATTTCACAATACTATATATTAATTTTACATTAAAATAAATAACTCTAATTTAAAGAGTTAGAAAGTCTTAAATCTATAGTCCATATTAACACTAATTTAAGATTTATGCCTTATTTAACTTCCCAAATTCTTTTCTAAAATTCTCGTACCCTAATGAACTATTTTTTTTTATCCTCAATTCACTTCTAGTATCGCAATTTCATCCTTCTACATTCTAAAAATTCATCTAAAAATAAATTAAAAATTTTAGAATTATCCTGAAGCCTCAAATCACCTTTCTATAACCTCAAAAATACCTATTCATACTTAAATAAATATTTAATAATCATAGATTTATCCCTACATCTCAGATTCCACATAAATTCAACCATATAGATCTAGATTTTAACTCAAAAATTCTTAAACATGAGTTTCAACCTTAAGAAAATATTCTATAATATTTACTATATCCCTAAGAATTTTAACCTATATTTTTAATCCATCATATCATCAGATTAACTATCCTATAGAAAAATCCTAATCAAAATATTTACTCTATCCTACAAAATAATCATATCACTAGAAAGCTAATATTATTTAGAAAATAACTATAAAATTAATTTTGTAATTAAATAAATTTTTAAATGCTAATCTAAACAGGAAAGTTAGAACATACCTGAAGAAAAAGAAAATAATCCCCCCTTGCGAGAAAACGCCGAGCAACGTGAGAGGAAGAGAGAAAAATAATATAAAAATGGGATTGTGAGTCCCAAAATTATATTAAAAAAAAACTATAGGTTTGAATTTAATTATTCAAACCTTTGGGCCCAAAGTTGCAATTTTCTCTAAATTGCATCTTAGCCTCTCATGCTTCCTAATGCACACACCCCCTCCTTTTTATACATGAAGGCACCTCTTCTCTTCCCTCATCTAACCAATGTGGGACTTAGAAACAACAACCTTCCACCCCCCCTTTTTTTGTTCCTTCTACCTTCTCTTTTTTTTTTAACACACACATAAAAAAATTATTTATGTATTATATCTTAACTAAATATTGCTTATGTGGTTTTAAATTTAAATTTTTAAATTCATAATTAAATACCTAATCATAATATTATTTCTAAATAACCTCAAATAATATAAATTCCTATTATTATCATTTTTTTCCTCAAAACCTAAATTCCACAATTTCTTTATTATATAAAAATCAGGATGTTACAATTCTCCCCTCCTTTTAGAAATTTTGTCCTCAAAATTTAATAGATAAGCTTAGAAACTATGTACCTAAGCAAATAAATGTGGATAATCTCGCCTCATACTCTCCTCGGTCTCCCAAGTAGCATCACCTAGGGCTCCACCCTTCCAAATCACCTTCACGAGTCGGATGGTCTTATTGCGTAGTTGTTTGTCCTTAAAGTCCTCAATTCGCTCCGGTTCGGATCTAAAGGTCAAATTCTCCCTCAATTCTACTTCTTCAGGTTCAATAACATGGGAGGGATCCGGGTTGTACTTCTTCAACTGTGATACGTGGAACACATTATGGATACCTGCAATCTGTGGAGGTAATGCAACTCTATATGCAGTAGATCCAATTCGCTCCAAGATCTCATACGGGCCCATAAATCTAGGTGTCAATTTCTTTGCCTTAATGGATCTACCAATGCCTGTCACTGGAGAAACCTTCAAAAATACATGATCTCCTACTTCAAACTCTAACGGCCGTCTCCTCTTATCAGCATAGCTCTTCTGTCGGCTCTGAGCGGTTAGCAATTTTTGCTTAATCATTGCAATCTTCTGGGTGGTTTGCTCTACAATTTCTGGACCAATGATACTCCTCTCACTTAATTCTGTCCAACATAAAGGCGATCTACACTTCCTTCCATACAAGGCCTCATAAGGCGCCATCCCAATACTAGAATGATAGCTGTTATTATAAGCAAATTCAGCTAATGGCAAATGATTATCCCAACTACCTGGTAGTTCAATGGCACAAGCTCTCAACATGTCCTCCAAAGTCTGGATCGTCCTCTCTGTTTGTCCATCTGTTTGGGGGTGGTATGCGGTGCTAAAACTCAGTCTGGTACCCATAGCCTTCTGTAGCGCACCCCAAAAGTTTGAAGTGAACCTTGGGTCACGATCTGACACAATTCTAGAGGGTATACCATGAAGTCTAACTATCTCCTTAATGTATATCTCAGCAAATTTCTCTAATGTAGAGGTAAACTTGATCGCCAAAAAGTGAGCTGATTTGGTGAGTCGGTCTACTATCACCCAAATAGCATCCTTACTCGAGGGTGTTCTTGGCAGTCCAGTGATGAAATCCATAGAAATATCATCCCATTTCCACTTTGGAATATCTAACGGTTGCAGTGTTCCAGCTGGCTTCTGATGTTCTATCTTTATCTTCTGACACGTTAAACATCTAGAAACAAATTCAGTTACATCTTTCTTCATTCCTGGCCACCACCAACCTCGCTTCAAATCATGGTACATTTTAGTTATACCGGGATGAATTGTATATTTGCTCCTATGAGCTTCTTCTAAAAGGATATTCCTCAATCTTGGATCATTAGGTACACAAACTCTACCTTTATACTTCATCACTGTGTCCTCAGAGATGGTAAAATTTGGGGCCTTACCTACCACTATCTCCTTCCTTATATTCCTTAAGTAGTCATCACTTTGCTGTGAGACTCTGAGATCTTCCCAGAATTTGCTCTCAAAGTCTGCTACCTGGAGTGCGGCCATTTGATGTTCAATCACATCTACTGGAACATCATGAAAACTGTTCCATAAATGATATTCATGAACCATCAAATGTGCAGCATGAATAGTCTTTCTACTTAAGGCATCAGCTACCACGTTAGCCTTACCCGGATGGTAATGTAATTCAAAGTCATAATCCTTTAGAAATTCCATCCATCGTCGCTGCCTCATATTAAGCTCTTTTTGATCAAATAAATACTTCAGGCTCTTATGGTCACTGAAGATTTGAAACTTAGATCCATACAAGTAGTGTCTCCATATCTTAGAGCAAACACAACTGCAGCTAACTCCAAATCATGAGTAGGGTAATTTTCCTCGTGTGGTCTCAACTGTCTGGAGGAATAGGCAACCACTCGGTCATTTTGCATCAAAACACATCCTAAACCCTTTAAAGAAGCATCAGTGTACAGAGTGTACGGCACCACAGGGTCAGGAATAGTCAATACTGGAGTAGTGGTTAACCTCTTTTTCAATTCTTGGAAAGCAGCTTCACATTTGTCAGTCCAAATAAATGGGGCATCCTTCTTAGTTAGCTTAGTTAAGGGCATCGCAATTTGCGAAAATCCCTTAATAAAGCGACGATAATAACCTGCTAGACCTAAAAAGCTTCGTATCTCTGTAACAGATTTTGGCTGTTCCCACTTCATCACTGCATCAATCTTGCTAGGATCCACCGCAACTCCATCTCTGGACACAACATGGCCCAAAAACTTTACTTCTTGGAGCCAAAATTCACACTTGCTTAATTTGGCATAAAGCTTATGTTCCCTCAAAACTTGCAAGACGATTCTTAAATGTTCACCATGAGCCTCCTCATCCTTTGAATAAATAAGAATGTCATCAATAAACACTACTACAAACTTATCTAAATAGGGTCGAAAGATCCTATTCATGTAATCCATGAATACCGCAGGAGCATTCGTAAGTCCAAACGGCATCACCATGAATTCATAATGCCCATATCTCGTCCGAAATGCTGTCTTAGGTATATCCTCTGCTCTCACTCTCAATTGGTGGTACCCTGACCTTAAGTCAATCTTTGAGAAAACTGCGGATCCCACAAGCTGATCCAGCAAATCATCGATTCTCGGAAGTGGATATTTGTTCTTGATGGTTACTTTGTTCAATTGTCTATAATCAATGCACAATCGGAGGCTTCCGTCCTTCTTCTTTACAAAAAGGACTGGAGATCCCCAAGGTGAAACACTCGGTCTGATGAAACCCTTCTCAAGTAGCTCTTCGATTTGCTTTTTCAGTTCCGCTAACTCTGAAGGGGACATCCGATAAGGAGCCTTAGAAATTGGCCCTGTACCGGGTACCAATTCAATTGAGAACTCTACCTCGCGCTTTGGGGGTAAACCGGAGACTTCGTCTGGAAATACATCCGCAAATTCTTTGACAATTGGGATATTCTTCACGCCTTCATCAATCTCAGCTTGGATAGAGAAGAAAACCATGTAGGCCTGGCAACCCTTCTTCATACATCTATCAACTTGCGCCGCCGACAAGAAAACATGATCTTGAGTCTCGACTGGGGTCACCGACAAAGAAGATAAAGACACACTCCTCTCTCTACAATCTAGGATAGCACCATTTGCAGCCATCCAATTCATTCCCACAATTACATCCATACCTCTCAGTGGTAGGATAATTAAGTCCATAGTTGTTTTCCTATTTTTAAACTCGACTACTAGGTTAAGGCATGCCTTAGCGGTCCTCACAGATTCTCCCGCAGGAGTAGACACATTCATATCAAAAGGTAAAATACACACAGGCAAATCAAGGTTCTTTACACAAGTTTCAGAAATAAAAGAGTGTGTAGCACCCGAATCAAATAGTGCAACAATATCATGATGAAGGATTTTGATGTTACCTCTAATGGCATCTGGGGAGTTCATGGTGTCCTGAGTAAGAGCAAACACACGACCAGAGACAGTAGGATGTTGGGAAGGGTTCTTCATATTTGAGCCCTGGTTGTCCCCACAAAACTTTGCAATGTGACCGGGTTTCCCACAAATGTAACAGATCCAGCACTGTCCGAAATGACGACGCCCGCATTTAGTGCACTGTTGAGAGCTCGCTGTACTCGGGGCAGGGGTAGATACTGTTGGGCTCCTCTGTGACCCGTAATAACTACTATGATAGCTCCTCTGTCCTTGGCCCCTTTGAAATGGACCCTTCTGCCTTCCTTGGTTCCATGAGCTACTCGAACCCTGATGGTTTTTCTTCATAATGCCTCCGGTGGGTCGAGGTAGGTTGGGGGTCTACTATATGAATAACCCCTCTTCTCTCTCTCAACCTCCTTCTTACTGCGAGCTACTACTTGTAGTTTTATGCACATTTCATCATAATCTCGGATATCTAGATGAGCCAATTGTTCCCTCAATTCTGGTCTAGCCTTCTCCAATAAGCGCTTAGCCTTCCATTCGGAATCATCCCTATACTGCAGGTACGTGGAGTATCTAGATAACTCCTGAAACTTAGCAATGAATGTGTCCTCATCGAGGTTCCCTTGCTTAAAGGCATGGAATTCCGCTTCCTTCTCAGACCTTAACTCTGATGGAAAGTAATGCCTGAATAATTTTTCCTTGAATTCCTCCCAGGTGAGTGTAGAATCATCCCTGGGCCCTGCTGTCTCCCACCAATCTCTTGCTCCTTTCACTAGGAGCACTAATGCTACTTGTACTTTTTGATTGCTGGTGCATGTGACTACTCGAAAGATGGATTCGAGTCTCTTCACCCATTCCTCTACCACGGATGGTTTAAGGTTACCATCAAACGTAGGAGGGTTAAACTTCCTAACAGTTTCCCACACATCAGTAATGGTCGGTGGGGCTCTCTGTTCCTCCTGCCTAATTTCTTTCCTTCTAGACTCATGATCTCTCAGAGTGGCAGGATGTGAGGAACTGCCTTCCCCCACATGACTCTCAACATGAGCCCTATCTCCATTTTCAGTTACCTTTTGCCTCTTTAGCTCCGTCAACTCTTGTTCGTATCCTTGAACCTTGTCTGTTAATGTTTTTTACAAGCATTCTTAATTCCGCCAAGTCAGGCTCCTCATTTGGCAGTGGCGGTGGCAGGTGCTCATGTTGGAATCCTGAGTTACCACGAGTAACAGGCATTTTCTCTCCCCTCCTAAAGGATACAAGATATAAATAATAAAATTAGCCTAGCTATATCATGGCCATACAATGAGAAGCACCATAACAATGTATATTGCCAACCGACTATATGCTCTGATACCAATATGTAACACCCTCAAATTTACAAACCGATTTTTCGCAAGTTATTAATTCAAGAAATCATTTTTTTTTCATTGAACCCTTATCATACCCTTATCATGGTAGAAAAATTTCTACCATGATACATCCAAGACAATATACCACAGGTCTTAAAATATCTCAAAAAGCAATCAGAACTATGAGGGACAGACATGATCCTCATAGCATGTTATTTAAATTAGGTCATGAATCAAAAGGGACAGACATAATCCTCTTGGACATATAAATGCATTTAATAAAAAGGATTAGAGTTTACATGCTCCATAGACAAGATATGTCCTAAGTTGGCACAAGATACATTGTATAATCCAAAATAAGAGGCAACGTAAAAGATGGTGTCTCATACACCATAATTACACCTCTGGTGCTTTCTCGGCCGGATTCGCTCCTGTAAAAATATTAACCACGGGGAATGAGACTTAAAAGTCTCAGTAACCAAAAATTAATATGTAATGATGCATGCGGATGTAACTAATCATGCGATTGCTAAGTGGGCACACAAAACATTTAACCGAACAATATTTTCAAACAAACTGAACAAGTATTTAATTGCATGACTGCACCTTATATCCTCCTTTCACCATGCTCGGACGCCAAATCACCCGGCCAAAGGTGAGTTGGACCAAGCGACACGCCACTCATTGGGTCCAATGAGGGCTTACCACGTGGTAATAATTAACCGAACAGAAATTCCCATTAACACCATACATTAAAATACCCTGACAAGTCATGCATCATTCAAATATCCAAACAGGAATATATCCGAACAATAATATCTCATCATGATAAACAAAAATAAATTTTTAACCCACTTGGCAATAATTTCAAACAAGTATATACAGTATTTATTTTCAATAATTCATAATTTTTCCAAACAACAAAACAACACATAACCATTCACAAACACACTCATCACAACACATTAATAATGGTTACCTTGTGTCTTGAATAACAAGTTCCCCTTCACAACTCCTTTTTCACCACTATCTTTGTCAATATAATCTACATAATTATTTCACAATACTATATATTAATTTTACGTTAAAATAAATAACTCTAATTTAAAGAGTTAGAAAGTCTTAAATCTATAGTCCATATTAACACTAATTTAAGATTTATGCCTTATTTAACTTCCCAAATTCTTTTCTAAAATTCTCGTACCCTAATGAACTATTTTTTTTTTATCCTCAATTCACTTCTAGTATCGCAATTTCATCCTTCTACATTCTAAAAATTCATCTAAAAATAAATTAAAAATTTTAGAATTATCCTGAAGCCTCAAATCACCTTTCTATAACCTCAAAAATACCTATTCATACTTAAATAAATATTTAATAATCATAGATTTATCCCTACATCTCAGATTCCACATAAATTCAACCATATAGATCTAGATTTTAACTCAAAAATTCTTAAACATGAGTTTCAACCTTAAGAAAATATTCTATAATATTTACTATATCCCTAAGAATTTTAACCTATATTTTTAATCCATCATATCATCAGATTAACTATCCTATAGAAAAATCCTAATCAAAATATTTACTCTATCCTACAAATAATCATATCACTAGAAAGCTAATATTATTTAGAAAATAACTATAAAATTAATTTTGTAATTAAATAAATTTTTAAATGCTAATCTGAACAGGAAAGTTAGAACATACCTGAAGAAAAAAGAAAATAATCCCCCCTTGCGAGAAAACGCCGAGCAACGTGAGAGGAAGAGAGAAAAATAATATAAAAATGGGATTGTGAGTCCCAAAATTATATTAAAAAAAAACTATAGGTTTGAATTTAATTATTCAAACCTTTGGGCCCAAAGTTGCAATTTTCTCTAAATTGCATCTTAGCCTCTCATGCTTCCTAATGCACACACCCCCTCCTTTTTATACATGAAGGCACCTCTTCTCTTCCCTCATCTAACCAATGTGGGACTTAGAAACAACGACTTTCCACCCCTCCCTTTTTTTGTTCCTTCTACCTTCTCTTTTTTTTTTTACACACACATAAAAAAATTATTTATGTATTATATCTTAACTAAATATTGCTTATGTGGTTTTAAATTTAAATTTTTAAATTCATAATTAAATACCTAATCATAATATTATTTCTAAATAACCTCAAATAATATAAATTCCTATTATTATCATTTTTTTCCTCAAAACCTAAATTCCACAATTTCTTTATTATATAAAAATCAGGATGTTACATGTCGGGGCACCTAATTCTCCCTAATTCTAAAGTCAATATCAATAGCTAGTTGGTCCAAATAGTTAATGTCTATTTACCCAAAGGAAATAAAGTAGTTTTTATATTGCCTTGCAGATATTATAAACTTCGTTTCATTTGGAATAATTCAAAAAGTTTTACCTACTACTCGTCTATTTCCAAATCCATAATCTGCCATAAAAATAGTGCACCATGTTTATGTTATCTTGATTATTGGCACAAAGACTTGTCTCAATTATACCTACTATAATTGTTTTTTTTTTTCCCTTTTCAAAACCACATTCTGTTTAGGATATTATGTTCCAATGTACATCACATCTAACTTTTCATCATACAAAATTGACCATCTGGTTTTGTCTTTTCTAAACCACGATCACCTTTAGAAATTATGCTGCCCCATGATTTTTTTATCTTACTTTTACTATATATAAACATGACTAACTTGAATATTTCAATAAATAAGAGACATATAAAGAAATCATTTACAAATTAAATTAGAAGTGCTTAGCATGACTTCTAATGAAATTTCGTGCCTTAGAATAATGCACAACCATTATCAGATCAATGAACTACCAAAGGTATGTATCCAAACTTCACCTATATTGAAATTGGATGCATTTCAAGTTTTTTTCCTTCTATTCTAAGCTCTTAATAATTTTCTAAGCACTCCACACAGAAGTCATATTAGTGATGTTAATTTTCTTCATATAAACTTTTATTTGAATTTTTTAGTTTAGATCTTAGTAAAGGAAGAGTTCACTCTGGAATCTTCTGTATTTTCTTGACAATTATCCTTAAGAAGTAGAGAGGGTTTCCAACTACCCACAAGGCCACGTCAAGAACATGTCGGTCGTCCATGGTCATGCTTACCCGAACATTGAGTGGAGGCTTTCAAGTACCAAATTCTTATTCGGTTCTTCGGTTCTCTGTGTGTGTGTGTGTGTGTTTTTTTTTTTTTTTTTGTAAGCTTTTTTAGCTGTTTTTTTTTCTAGTTTAGTTGTCGGCTTGTTGCATAACTATTACACCCTCCATTTAAAAATATAAAATATTTTTTAAGAGGTTCAATGTTTAAAAATATAAAATATTTTTAATATTTCAAGATATAATCATTACCTTTTTTTTAAAGTGCCCCTATTAAATAATTACTTCATATTTATTTGAGAGTGAAACACCTATATACCTATTATTGGGTAAACATACAAAGATAATGCTAGTTTGAAAATAAATAACTACTTTATTGAGATGAAATTTAATTAAAAATATTTTACATTTTTAAATAAAAAAAGTAATTTTTTCTGATTTAATGATATTATAGTTGTGGTCAAAATAATAGTAGTAGTAGGAGTAGGAAAGGCGGCACTTATGAATAGTGTCAATTTATTGCATAATAAAAAATTTCTATTGAAAAATCAAAATATACAGTAGCTATAGGTGCTTTTATATATATATATATATATTTTTTGGTACACAGAGGGCAGAGCCACAAGTGAAATAAACTAAAACTAAGCGTGGGCAAACCAAGCTCAATCTATCCCTATACAGTATATCAAGTGAGCCTTCTGAAGGCTCACTCAACACCTCTAGTCCACATTTTTATGAGAGGCTTCAATTAGCTAACTAATTCGCACTAAAATTTCTTTCACAATAAGTACGTGCCACACGAATATACCAACTAGCATCAATCATAGTTTGGATTTGATGAAGGAATCAATTTTTCACACAAAAATATGACAACATCTGCTTTAATATATGTACAAATGCAATAGAGTCACATTCAATGGGGGTGCATTTATATTGATAATGCCTAAACATTGAAAAAGGGCGCTTTGGAATACTTTGGGACTTGGCCCCCCCCCCCTCCCGGGGGGGTTTTTTTTTACATGGATAAAATTTACATAATCACGCACACTAACTCTAGTCTAATGCATCATGCACTCACTAACACTTCTGCTCCATCATTTGGAGGTTTGATCTCACAAACTCCTCTTAAAAAAAATGTGGAGTGCTTTTTAAAAGATAATCTGATATAAATATATATATAAGTTATTGTATAGCTTGATAAATATTTATTTTAAAGAAGAAAGGGAAAAAGCATATATGACACATATATAATATAAATAAATATTATCCATCACAACTAATAATATTGTGATTTTTTTTCAAAAGATTTACTTAAAATTAAGTTGATGGATATCGAGTACAAAAATTAAGATAATTAAAATTATAAAATAATTTTTTTAAAAATTGAGATGTTGACAACTTTCCTCATTTCTAATGCTTTTTGAAAGATGACAACGGCTTATGAGTAATTATGAGATAAGATAACTTACTGTCAATTTAAATATTTAAAAGAAGGACCTCCTTATTTTGATTAAATTATAAACTTATTTACATTATCCAAAGATAAATAAATTAAAATATTTTTTAAAAAAATTACATTATTTATATGTAAAAGAAATGAGCATTAATTCCAAATACACTATTTATATATTAAAAAAGTTATGCATGTCAGTCAACAACTTTTATAAATATTTTTTTTTTAGCTTTCTTTTATCTTTTTCAATAAGGCTCAACCATTCTACTCTCCTTTTTAGTGCATTCCACGATTTTTTTTATACATATTCAAATTATTTCAAATGATTATCTATCTTTTTTTTCTCAATAAGTGCTACACCTACTTTTTCTCACATTTACTCATTTTGAATTTTATCTTTATGTATATGGCCGCATATCCATATTAACATTCTCATCCTTGTTACTTCAACTTTATGCTTTTGTTGTCATGTTAAAGCCTAATATTCACTATCATATGATATAGTGGTCTTATAGCAGTTTGATAAAACTTTCTTTTAAGTTTATTATGTATTTTATGATTTTAAATAACTCATTTAGCCTTTATTAAATTAAATCACCTAGCTTGTATCTTATGTTCAATATTCCCATCAATTTTTGTATCATGTTAAATAATAACTTTTAAATATCTAAATTTTTTCATTTGTGATATAATTTAATCTCTCAATTTTACTTTCATATTACTATTGACTGACTTTATATCAAAATTATATTGCAAAATATTCTGTTTCACTTCTACTCAAGCTAAAACATTTTGACTCCAATATCTTCCTCCACAACTCAAGTTTACAGTTAATTTCTTTTCTTATCTCCGTAATAAGAACTATATCATCTGTAGAAAGCATGCATTTAGGAATTTTCTCTTGAACATGCTCAATCAAAATATCTAGGATCAAGTCAAATAAATAAGGACTCAAAGATGATCCTTGATGTATCATAATCCTTAAAGGAAAGTCATTTATTTCACTGCCAGATGTTTTTATACTAATTGTTGCCTTCTCATGCATATCTTGTATATCTCTAATATAGGCAACTTGAACTCTTTTTTTTTTTAAGGCTTTTCAAAGAACTTCTCTTAATGCACGGTCATAAGATTTTTTTAAATCGAAGAAACTATATAAATTTTTTATTTTAGTATCGATACTTTTTCATTTTTTTCTTAATAAATAAATTGTTTATAGAGTTGCCCTACTTGATATGAAGCCTAACTAATTTTTAAAATTACCAATATTCAATTTCAACATATGTGAATCACTTTTTGTCATAATTTGACTATATAACTCATCAGTTTAATGTTAGCATGGTTTTGAATCTTAAGTGTCTCTGTATAGCTACAGTATTAGGCTTTTTAGACACGTGGTATCTATAGGCATTAGCTTACGATTCTCTCTCTCCCTCTCTCTCTATAACTACTTCTATATGGAAATTTCTATACAAATGTGAAGCATTGTTGATTGCTAGTAGCTGAATATCACTTTTTTTTTTTCTAAAGAAGAAAATATCCCATGACGTTTGATTGCTAATAACTGAATATTACTTTTTTTCCTAACAGAGAAAATATTCCCATGACGTTAATAACTACATAACTCACATGACATTTGACTTCATTCTTCAAAACAATTAATACAAGTGAGACCAAAAAAAAAAAAAAACTCTTCTAGAAGGGTTGTATTGTCAACTAGTCTAGAAACATTTTTAAGACCTGTTGTATGAGGAATCAATTTAGAAGTCTAATAGTCACAGTAGTTATTTTACAAAAATATCACCACTCATTTTATATATTGTATCCTTTACAACAGGTCTAGAAAGGCCGGAAGCATTGTTGATTGCTAATAGCTGGATATCGCTTTTTCTTCTTTGAAGGAGAAAATATTCCCATGACGTTTGATTGCTCATAATTAACTGAATATCACTTTTTTTTTTCCCTAAAGGAGAAAATATTCCCATGACGTTAATAACTACATAACTCGTATGACATTTGACAACATTACAAGTGAGACAAAAAAAAAAAAAAAAAAAAACTCTTCTGGATCGGTTGTAAACGTTTTTAAGACCGCTTGTATAAGGAATCAATTTAGAAGTCTAATAGTTGCAGTAGTTATTTTCAAAAATAGCACCGCTCATATTCTATATTATATCCTTTACAACAGGTCAAGAAAGGCCGGTTTAAATGACTATTTTTCTACTAGTGATCAATTCACTCATTATTAGTCTTCATGTCTCAAATAAAAATCAGCATCAATAGACCATTCTTAAACGAATGAATGCTTTTTCTTTTTCTTTTTCCATGTCAATCTAGAAAGCCTGGATACTGAATTACGAAAAGGAAGAACTAGTAGTATTCAGACCAGAAGATTCCACAAATTAAAGCAGATGTTAAAAATGGTTTTGATTCCATAATTTGCCAAAGTAACATTGTTGGAAGTCAAAAACCTAAACAGCATGATGTTCAAAGCAGAGGAAGCACTGATTTATCAATTCAACTAATGTAGTTCAGAAGAGTTTCTTCAATGAGACAATTGACTATACCATAATATGGAAAACACCAAATTATATGATAATGTTGTAGGTGAATTACGTATGAGAGGTAAAAGACAAGGTATTGATTAATCCCTAGAAAGGACTCACGAAAACAATCTTCATTTTTCTTTGCACCAAATTCTTAAGTAAACTAGGTTTACAAATACAAGCAACCCAAACTAACGAAAAAACATGTAATTGGGTCAGATACAGAATTCAAAAGGACACACTTCTAACACAAATATATTTTGATGAACCTATCATCTATATGTTTTGGACAATAAACATTATGTCCTAAGTGTTGAAACAACATCTTAGCAGGAACCATCCCAAAAAAAAAAAAGCAGAAATAATCCACTAAACACTGTCCATTTTGCACCTGCACTTCTACTGTTTCTTCAGCTTGCATATTAATGTTATAGCTGTACATCACAATCTGTTCCAATTTCCTCCTATTCTTTTTTGTTTTTTTGTCCAGTATTCCAAAGAAGCTGGAAACAAAATACCCTTCAAATGATTACATAAGATCAGGGTTCCATGTGAGCTGCCAATCAGTCATCCTTCGTAACGATCTGGCCATATGCTCATTTGAGGCACGAATGTGAAGTAGTCTGTTCTGCATATCTCTAAATGAAGGAACACTTATTGCATCAGATACTCTATCATGGTACAAAGGATCTTCAGCAAAGTTGACAAGAGCCTCAGCTGCATTATCCCTCACTTCCTCCAACTCTTCATGCAGCATCATTTCAATGAGAATCGGGATTGCCCCCGCTTCAGCAAGTGCCATTCTATCTGCCTCATCATAACTCAACTGAGCACATGCCCCAGAAACATTCTGCTTTATCTCTTCATTTCCAGCCTGCAGAAGCCCCACTAGAATTGGAATCACACCTGACTCTCGGACCACAGATGTTGTGTGCTTGTAACTTGCTAGATCCCACAACACATCAGCAGCAGATGCCTTTGCTTCATCGTCGCCTTCTCTAAGAATCCTCACCAAGTGTCTGGTGATTTCAACAGCATTCTCCTCAGCAACAGCCAATATACAAAATACATCCTCAGCAATCTCCATACCAGAAGGGTCAGGTCCTTGAAGAAGCTCAGCATAAAGACAGATAACCCCAGATTGGGCAACTAATCTGATATAATCAATATGAGCAGAGATCACACCAAGAGCATTGCCTGCCACAAGTTTCATGAGGTGATCTCCATCTTGAAGACACTCAACAAGTACTGGTATAACTCCTAGTTCAACAAGTGTACGCCTTGCCCGTCTTGGGACACCAAGTAACCCAATTGCTTGACAAGCTCTTTCCCTAGAGACCATGCTACCACAGCTAGCAGCCTCCACAAGAAATTTAAGACTTCCTAATCTAGTGAGCGCCCTCCTAACATCCCTAAGCAATGCCAATGCGCTCAAAATTTCCAACAGGTATAGTCTAATATCACTTGTAGAAGAGTTTAACAAACTGATGATGACTTCTACACCGCCATTACTAGCAACGACTGCACGACTTGAGTTACAAAAAGTGACAACAACAAGCAAACATTTTATCAGGATTTCTTGAAACTCCCCAACTGAATGTGATAACCACCATAACAAAGAATTTGCTGCACCACGTCTACCTATTTCCCTTGCCAACCCACCATCACCTCTACAACCTATACATTTTAAGCAATAAGCAGAAGCCTTTTGAAGAGAACAACCTGAATGAATTGACTGGTAGTCATCAAGATTCCCAGTGAGATGGGGTATGATACGAACTAATAAACTCTCAGGGGCATGTTTAGAGAGACGAGCTAGCTTCATCATGGCTTTTATCTGCATAGTCTTAGTCCCCGAGTCTATCACTTTTTCATACTGTAGCAGAGCTTGTTCCCAATTTATACTAGTTTCACCAATATTTTCAATGTCGGAGCAATTCATTTCAGATAATCGAAGCCTGAAGTTATAAGCAAAATGAACCTTCGTACTTTATAGTTTTAAAGAAAGGAAGAAAAAACTATCGCATCATTGTGAAGCAATTTCAATACAGCTATTAGCATATCAGAAATGGAAGAACATGAATAAGAAGGAATAACGACCAATACAGACAGAAACAAGAAATAATTAGTAGAAAAAGACGATAAATTCAAATACCCTTTGTGAAAGAGCCGCTAAACTTGAAAGAAAGGCAGTGGAATCAAGCAATCAATGATAATGTCTCAAAGAAAACGAAGGCTGTATGGTTAGCGTCGACAATTCAACGGCCAACTAACGGGTACGGAAAACCCGAGCCATGAGAAATTGGGTCGGTTATACGGCTACCGGCCACCGCGTGAAGTTTAGCAGAATGATTATTCAAAGATGCATTTAATAGACACTTTTTCGTTTTGGCCTGAGGATTTGATAGACTTTTTAAAAAACATAATTTTATAAATTTTACAAATAAAAATGTTTTATGCAATTTTTTAATTTTTTTAATAAAAATATTTAGTTTAAACTATGTTAATATGTTAATACATAAAATTTGTCATCCCTGATAATGTAGTTTTTTTTTTTGTCAACAAATAATGTGATTTGTCTTGTGCATAGTATGAAAATCCATGTCATCTGCTCGGTTCAACCAATAAAGTGTTCAATCAATATAGCTTGTCTAAGGGTAATGTAAATACATGGAAAAATATATATAAAATCTTTTATATAATAGAAAATTTACTTCCACTCAGTAAATTGAATCACATCAAGAACTCAAGCCAGCTTCATGTATTTATACAAAGTTAAAGATGATTTACATTGTTCATGGTTTGTATTGATTTTAATATTACCGATTATCAAATTATATAATTGTTTAATTTGAAAAATTTTATCTTGTGGGAAAAATGACATGAAGATGGAGAGATAGAGGTAAGTTGAAGTTATAGGACCAATCTTATTTTTTCTTTTTCTTTCTTTCTTTCTTTCTTTCTTTCTTTCTTTGTTTTTTTTTTTTAAGTACAAAGAGAGTTTAATCATTAATCTCTACTTATCCCACTCTTATCATTCTGAATTAGTTGCCTCAAGTAACTTAAGAGAATTATTTTTGAAGCAATGAAGTTCTCATTTATCTTTTTCACACATTTATTTTTTATTTTTATAAAATGGTAAAAAAATAAAAATCACATGCTTGCAAAGTATTTATAATATTTATTTTTTAAAATCATTTGAATATTTAAAAATGTTAATTATTTTAAAAAAATTATACTCACATTAATAAACTTATACTCATTTTAATACATTAATTTAAAATAGCAATGTTGATTAATGGCTCTTAAAAAGGTCTTCTGGGTCTTATAATCTGATATTTCCACCATGGTTATTTATTTATTACCAAAATTGAAAGCTCAAGACTCGCCGAAGCTGCGTGCCAAAACTAGAAGAATCGCAAAAACTAGTTGGCTTTCTGGAAATTACTAAAGTACCGATGCACGGGCTTTCTGTAACAAAATATTTTTAAATAAATATTAATATTCATATTATAAAAAATATCTTTTTTAAAATAATAATTTGCAGGAGATATCTTCTCCATATAATTTCCATACGTAGTCATATTGTTTAATTATGGTTATTAATATTAAATATGTAAATTAAAGTAAAGGAAATAATAAAAGTTAAAAGCATGTTGTATAAATGGATATAATAGGAAATAGATTAAAAAATCATAATTTTTAGAGTAAAATACACGTATTACCCTTTTTATTATGCCTTAATTATACAAATATTTCTTTTATTTTGAAAACTCATGTTAACTTTCCTTAAAATTAAATGTATGTTACATAAATTTCTTTTTTTATATTTAAAATTTGATTTCCATCCATCCTACCATTAGTTGATAGTTAAGTTTGACTTTTAAACTTTTAATTTGACCAACATATCCCTACTTAATATAAGAATTAAATAAAAATCTCTATTTGCAAAAAAAAAATTGTTTGTATACAATTGAGAAATATATTAAATACATTTTCAAATTTTTATCATATTATAAAATATTATGATTTTAATTTTTATCATATTTTTGAAATTTATTTTTGTTTATTTCATAATAAAATGATATAAATTTAAGAGATTTTATAAATAATTTAAATTTAAAATTTGTAAACATATCCTTTGCCGTGAAATGATGTAACTATCAAAATAATATAAGATTTATTTTGGTGAGGGATAAGTTAAGAATGTTTTTAACAGAGTTAACATATTGAGCTAAATTATATGTTTTTTAAAATAAAGAAAAGGTCTATGTAAATAAGGTAAAGTAAGGGTAGTCAAAGTATTTTAAACCCTCCCCACTTCAACATAGAAAACAATAATGTATAATTAGCTGTGTGAGTAAAAATAATATGGGGCAAATATAAATTAACATGACATGCTTTAACTCTAACTCTTATTAATAATCATTGCAAAGGTCAAGATACTTCTTCCCACAGTAAATTGCAATTTGGAATCAGATGGAGACAGCAATATGCAGTATGTATAATTTTTTCCAGCATTTCCATTCATTTTTTGAGTATTGATAACATGTTTTTTTAGCTCTTGTAATTATAAGATATATACCAAACTCATCAATATTTTATATTAAAATAATTAGGACACTCATTTTGAATCTTATTTCATAATTTAGTAGGTTTAACATTATAATTAAATTTAGAAAATCTGATTCTTCCACCATGGTTATTTATTTATTTGTTTATGTATTGTGAAAATTGAAAGCTCACGAGTCATGACTCGCAGAAGCTGTGTGCCAAAACTAGAAGAATCGCGAAAGCTCGTTCTCTTTCCGGAAAAATCAGAAACAAATCTCGAAAATTCGATATTTCTCCCTCCTCTCCGTTTAAATACCCGATGTATCCGATTTGTTGTAACAACACGAGCGAAAACAATCTCACAGGCCAATCACCAATTCGAACCTGTCAGCAAGTTCTAGTTATTTTTACGCAAGGTTGAAGAATAGAAGATGTCGTTAATACCAAGTTTCTTCGGTGGACGAAGGAGCAACGTGTTCGATCCCTTCTCTCTCGACGTTTGGGATCCGTTTAAAGATTTTTCTGTCCCTTCGTCTCTCGCATCTTATTCGGAGGAAAATTCTGCATTCGTGAACACTCGAATTGATTGGAAGGAGACTCCAGAAGCGCATGTTTTCAAGGCCGATGTACCAGGGCTGAAGAAGGAGGAGGTTAAGGTTGAGATTGAAGATGATAGGGTTCTTCAGATAAGCGGAGAGAGGCATGTTGAGAAAGAGGACAAAAACGACAAATGGCATCGTGTTGAGCGAAGCAGTGGCAAGTTTCTGAGGAGATTCAGGTTGCCGGAGGATGCGAAAATGGATCAGGTGAAGGCTTCTATGGAGAATGGAGTTCTTACTGTCACTGTGCCTAAGGTTGAGGCTAAGAAGCCTGAGGTTAAGGCCATCCAGATCTCTGGTTAAGGAAAATCACATCTTTTCTGGATTTGTATTGACCGATTTGTCTTTGTGCATCTGTTAGATATTAGATTCTCCATACTTGAAATCGATAGTTCTACTTTTTGGTGTGGAAAAGAAAGATAATGTCTATGTATATGTCTGTATGTTTATGTAAATTTACATGATTTTTCATTTACGTTAAGTGAAATTAGCTCAGCTGATTCTATGTTTTGGTAGAAACGCAGTGCACAACCAGGGATTAGAATGTAGGGGACATTGACTTGTTGAAGCTTGCCAAATATTCATATAGATAAAGTTTGCTTTGATTTTTTGGCAAATATGAAGTTCGGTTTGATGTTTACACGAGTCTAAAATTTTGGATGGTGCTCTGTTTGCTCTGTTTTAGTGAGGATGTTAAAGTCTTTTCTGAAGTGTTATGATGCTGTACGTTTTGATATTATTTTGTGTCTTGTATGAACTTTTCCATGTTGAGACTGCTCAGGAAAATTGTGCTGAAGTTTTGATAATTATACATAAGTCGTATTAATACTTGTTTTTACGTAATTCAGTATATGTAGTAGAAACAGAGCAATGACATTGTTGGAAATTTTGTAGACATTTGCATGTTTTGAGTAATCATTTTATCTAAAATTCATAAAGTGTCCTGTTTGTTGCTTAATTGAAAGTTTATAACAATATTTTTCATTCATCTCTTCTTCTCTTGTTAGATCGGGCAATTTGCTGTAAGTGTCATTATTTGTATTCCTAGATCGATCATCCAAAAAAATTAAAGCAACATTGAAATTTTTATTAATGATATTCCAGTTTTTTTCATCCTCACAAGCAGATGGAAACATTGAATCAATGCAGCTATATATTGCAATATACCAAACGCAACCGAAAATATGAGTTAGAAAAAGAAATCTAGTAAGTTAGACCTTTAGAGGAGTATTGTCATACCTACACCTACCTTTTTTCCTTGTGGAACTCTAATTAATTATCGATCATACTATCTTCTAGATGTCTCATATAAAAATTTGGCACTTGTAAGGCCTCCACTGCATGCTGGGATCAATGCACTCAAAGATGAATGACGTGTTCTTCAATGTGGCCCTAGGAGTTATAGGAAAGCCGGTGAACTTCTTGAGGATCTTCAAACAAAAATGGAAGTCCTTTGAAAACTTTTCCTTTAGCAACATCTGAATCCAACAAGTCAAATTTAACTTTACGAGCTAGATGAAAGCTAACTCCACTAATATGAGTTTTGTGTAGAGCGCTTAGCAAATTGTGTATGTATAAGAGAATTGTGTATCCAAATTCAATGCAGTTAATCTGATAATGTTGTGCCATTATTCTCAGCATAGAAGTTTCATTAGAAGTCATGCTAATTACTTCTAGTTTTTTTTTAATTTCTTTATATGTTGCTTATTTATTGAAATATTATGGTTGAAGTCTCTCTCTCTCTCTTACACACACTCACAATTGAAAGTAAGATGATAAAAACATGTGGCATGATTTCTAAATGCTATTGTAGTTTTGAAAAGATAAAATTAGACGGTCAATTCTATGCGCTAACAAGTAAGATGGATAAAATAAACACGGGTATAATTTCTAGATTCAACTGTGGTTTTGAAAAGATAAATTGCACTAACAAGTAAGATGGATAAAATAAATACGGGTATAATTTCTAGATCCAACTGTAGTTTTGAAAAGATAAAGTCAGATGATCAATTCTTTGTGCTTGGAAGTAAGATGAGATAAATACAGATTATAATTTTTAAATGTAATAGTGGTTTTGAAAAGACAAAATCAAATGATCAATTCTATGTCCAACTAAGTAAGATGAGATAATCATATGGCATAATTTTCAGATGCAATTGTGGTTTTGAAAAGATAAAGCTAGATGGTCAATTCTATGTGCTAGTAGGTAAAATGAGATAAATATGGAGCATAATTTCCAAATATAATTGTGGTTTTGAAAAGACAACATCAGATGGTAAATTCTGTGTTCAAGTAAGTAATATGAGATTATCATATGGTATGATTTTCAGATGCAATTGTGGTTTTGAGAAAGATAAAGTTAAATGGTCAATTCTATGTGTTAGTAAGAAAGATGAGATAAATACAAAGTATAATTTTCAAATGTAACTGTAGTGTTGAAAAGACAAAATCAAATGGTTAATTCTGCATTCAAGTAAGGGAGATGAGATAATCATATATATGGCATAATTTTCAAATGCAATTATGTTTTTGAAAAGACTTGATTAGATTAGATGGCCTGTTAATTCTATGCGCTAGTAAGTAAGATGAGATAAACATGTGCTATACTATCATAAATAGAATGAAATTTTTTAAAAAACAAATATAGTAGGCACTGTGACAATTTGCGTGCCAATTCTGTGGTTTTGGATGGACACGAATTTTTTTTTTTGGCCACCTTGGACAGACAAGAATAGTAGGTAAATGGTGACAACTAATTGAAATTTAATTTTCCCATAAAATAAATTGCATGTAACAAACGCTTACAAATTGATAATTTCAAAAAAAAAATCAACAATTATTTTTAATAAGATTGTGCTTAAAATTATCTTATTTTTTTTGTTAATGTAAGCAAAATAATATGAGAAATTAAAAATAAATATGAAATATTTTAAATTCAAATAGTATAGATTTTTATTATAAGAATAATTAGTCGTAATTCTTTCTTTGATATTGTGCAGGGAATGAATGAATACACTATACCCTTTTAGGGTGGTATAAAATAAATATTTTTTATTAGAAAAGATTAAATAATAGTAGATGGAATTTATTTCAAGGGAGAATGTCATCTACGCTTGAAGGGAGAAAAGGCTGCACTTAGGATTTAATGCATTTTGAAATTATTTTGCAAGACTAAGGACTCTTTTTTAAAATATATTTTAAGGAGAAAGGGCACAATTGCCTTTAGTAAGAAAATGCAACAAGTACAAGTTTATACTTTTATAATTAAATGTTCATGAATTTATAACTTTGTGTTCACATGTTGACAATTAATTGTTCATTAAAAATGAAATTCTTATTTAGGGTTGACATGTTCATCTTAGCCAACTTAATAAATTTATAATTTAAAATTTAAATATTCATAAATACAGGTTTACCTATTCACAAGTCAAAGTTCAAAATTTATAACTTAATATATTTAAAACTAAGGTTCATTGTGATAACAAGTTTAGATTTTTACAACTATATGATCACTATTCACAACCTTAAGTTTGCATATTAATAAGTAATTGTCCATTAGTAATGAAATTCTTATTCAGGGTTGACAAGTTTATTTTGGCCAACTTGATGAATTTACAATTTAAATTTTAATATTCATAAATACATGTTCATCTACTCATAAGTCAAAATACAAAATTTATGACTTCATATGAACAAAACAAAAGTTAATCATGACAACAAGTTCATATTTTTACAATTAGATATTTATGAATTCACAATTTTATGTTCACATATTAACAAGTCATTGTTCATTGTAGCAAACATAAAGTTCTTTCTTTCTCACTAAGTGCAATTGTGTCTTTTCTCCTTAAAACATATATGCAAAAAGGGCCTTAGACTTGCAGAAAAATTTCAAAATGCATTAGGCTCTAAGTATATTTTTTCCTCCCTTCAAAGCTCTAGATGAGATTCTCCCTTGTTTTAAACCTAAACTGAAGACTTTGTTTTATCCTTAGAAATAATAAAAAGAAAAATGTACATATAAAAATTTATCTAAAAACCAACTCAAATTTTTTAGGGTTAAGGTCCATTTAGTTCAATAGCATAAGCTTTCATTTTTTTTCTAAGGTTGAGGTCCATCTTATTTAATAGCATAAGCCCTCATTTTTGAAGCAAAGAGTTGTGGGTTATCCCCATAATCCCAAAAATGGGTGGGATTTAGGTTTAATGGGCGTATGTGCTTGTGTGGAGGTGGGAGGGTCAGTTAGGAGGGGTTGTGAGCTGTGTGTTGGGTAAGTAAGTGCTGCATGTGTATAGAATCCCATTTCCTATATGGAAAAGGGTTAGATAGGTTAAGGCACAAAAAAATTCTAGTTTTTTTTCATTGAATTATTCTCAGAGAAGAATTCAGTGTCCTAAAAATCTTTATTGTAGCAATGCCACCCTCAAGGTAATTAAAATATAGCAATGTTGTCCATAATGTTAAATTCTTAAACGTTGATCGTCAATTGTGCTAAGAGTAAGCTTGAGCATGGGCAAGATCGGATCGAGTTAACAGTTAACCCGAAGCTCGACCCTAAAAAGAGACAAGCTGTATTTGTTAACTTGAAGCGTGACCATACTTGAAGATTGCTTGAGATTTTTAGGGTCGGGCATTAGGGTAAGTCGGACTAGTTTGTTTGTCTAGCACTTGTTGTTTTTTCCCTAAATCTTTGGTGCCTTGGGCCTTGGACCAATAATATAAATGGAAAAAAATGGGTTAATAGATACAATGTCTACAATGGAAAAGAAGGAGAAGACAAGCAGACAACCAATATGAAAAAAATAGAACAAAAATCTGACATATTAACATGAAAATTCAAATCAATATACTTGAAAATACTTGATAAAGCCACCAAAGAAATGCAACAGCCATGAGAAGCCACAAAGAAACAACAGCAAGAATGCAACAACCACGATTCTGGTAAAGCATCAAGCTTATGTATAATCGAAGAAGCAAAACAAGAGAACAACTAAAACATAACTATAGCACTAGTAAAATATTGCAGGGTAAAGAAAAAAATCTTAATTTAGACAAACAAGAAGAATAGCACAATCATACTAGAAAAGCACTTGCCATGAAACAAGTTGTGTCTGCTTTAAAGAAGAAATGCAAGAGCCACAATTCTAATAAACACAAGGTTGAAGAAGAAGAAAAGTGACAACCATGAACACTATAGCTTATCAAAGTTCTTAAGTTCGAAGAAGAAGCCATGATTGTCCTTGAGCTAAAGAAACACTACATCTAGGTTGATGGTGATAGGGGATGCAGAAGTAAAATCATGCTAGTTTAGGGACAGAACCCTGAAACACAACAAAAACACAAGAACAAAAAGAAAGGGATGAAATTTATGACGGAAATAAAGAAAGATATGAAGTAAACAATAGGATGATGATTAAGGAGAAGATCTTCTAAAGCACCTGCCTCTAGAAACCTTAACATTCAAAGACACTACAAGAGTTAATCACGCTCTTGATCAAATCTGTTTCTCACACGGGATGCCACCACAAAGCACTAAGGCTCACAAGAGTTATAAACTTTAAAATAAATAATTTCATTCAACTTATGTTCCGTTTACAAGAGG